ACTTCGACAATTGCATCAACCGAAGCCACAGCTTCAAATTTATTTGGAGCAGGGACAAAAGGTAACTAGTGAATTGTGCAATTTTTGCAACTGCCTTTTCGGCAAAACCTTTTCGCGCATTTAATCCAGTACCGACCGCTGTGCCACCTAAAGCTAACTGATACAATCTTGGTAATGTATCTTTTATTCTTTTAATACCATATTCAATTTGCGTGGCATATCCTGTAAAATACTTTCATCTATATTCCTTTAGCTATTTCAAATGTAATTATAGTTTGCCTAGATATAAACCTGAAAATTCTTGACCCAACGTCATTGGTACTGCATCTTGAGTATGCGTTCTACCAATTTTTATGATATCTTTCCATTTGTTCGCTTTTTCTTTCAACGCTTTATGTAATTCTTCTAAGCCTGGGAGTAATACTTTATGAATTTCTAAAGCAGTAGCTATATGTATAGCTGATGGAAATACATCATTAGTACTCTGTGACATATTAACATGATCGATTGGATGCACAGGTTTTTTTGAGCCAAGTTCGCCACCGAGTATCTCTATCGCACGATTGGCAATAACCTAAGCATTTAAAAAAACATTTTATTGAATGAAATAGTAATTCATTCAATAGAATTCAATTATTCTCTTTCATAGAATAATTGATTTGACTTAATAAGTATATTAATATAATATTCGACCTCATTGACATTCATGTGAGTTGGTGTCCCAGATCCAGTTTGCCAAATAACTAAAGGAAAGTGGTCATGATATAATTTTCCACTTATTACGTCATCTGCTGCCTTACTAATAGCATCGGCAATTTTTTATCCAAATCATATTCTTTGTTTGCTTCTGCAGCAGCTTTTTTACTATACCAAAAGCAATTATCAGTCTACACTATAAAAATAATCATATTTATTATTTCAAATACAAGAAAAGAGAATTGAATAAATTTATAATATTGCTATTATTTACAGGTATACGCTCCAATATATCACCAATTGGAAAATTCATCAATGCTCGGAGAGTTTGTGAACCATAATATTTGTCTGCAGGAACTTTCAATTCTCCAAATGTATCTCTTTCAATTCTGTAATTTGAACATTCCTGTTCCTATACATACAAGCGTATAGTTATTAACATTGATGATATGTTAAGATATATAATAATATATTAAATTTTACATATCTATCTTATGTACGTTATTGTTTAATTATTATGCAGAAAATAGCAATATATAATTATCAAATTTTTATACCAAATTTTAACAGAATGCAATTGTATTTTGTATACGATGTAATATATAAAACTTCATAACGGTAGTGTTTGCTTCCTTAATGAAAACATTTCTAAAATCTAAAGATTGTCTTTGATTTTTTTAAAATTAAGATTGTATGTAAATTTTCCCAAATATATTTAATTTTTATAAATGTTTTATATACATTTTAATATAAAATTTTGATGCATTTTAATATAAAATATGAAATCTTATGATATAATTCTTTTCTTAATTGTTTAATCTTTTTATCCATGAAGTAATGAGTTAGATTAATTGATGTAAAGAAAATATATTGCTTAAAAAGGATATATATATATAATTTACAATAAACAGTAACATATTTTTTTAAATAAAGCTATCTTTACATCAGTTGACTTATATTTTTATTACTTTAATAAAATTAATAAAATAAAATATCAACAAAAATCTCTTTAAAAATATTATATACAGAAGAAAAACTTTTTGTTATGTGAATAAAGTAAAATATATTTTGTTAAAATAATTCTATGTACCTTAAAGCTCGCAACGAATGTTGAAGTTGACAGATGCAATCTTGATGACGAAAAATAAATTGATAATTTTTGCAAATTACGATTAAAAAAATGGCTCTTTAGTGTATTAAACATTATTGTTTTCAAATTTTAAATCTATTGAAAATTGATCTATTGAAAATCTATTTATCTCTTTATTTTAACAAATAGCTGAGACAAGGCCAAAATTAAAATGCAAATTGACTAATCACAATCGAGAATTATAAAGAGATAATTGAAAATTAATTCTCAATGTGATTGGTCAATACGCTTACAGTTTTCTATGCCACGTTTGTGTTTTTACAATAAATATAGTTTAAACTGTAAGTCGTAAGAAACTGACCAATCATGATCGAGTGTTTTTCTCATATTTGAATCATATTTGAATATGATTGATCAACTTTCTTAATATTTAAATTTTTCTATATGCCACAACTCTTATATCATGAACCATAAATCTTGGGGATTATTCATCCTTATTGTTTATTAAACGATTAAACAAAGACAAATAATATTTACGAGCATAAATTGAAACGCAGTCTTGAGGCTTGTTCTTTTTAGCTGAACTTAATTTATCCCGCACTAGTTTATTCCAAGTAGCAAGATGACGTCATTACGCTACTTAAGTGACGTCATTATGACGTCATCTTGCTACTTGGGATAGTTTATCTTTCTTTCTTACACTGGAAGAAGAAAGATAAACTCTGAACTAGTGCAACCAATTCAGCCAAAAAGAACAAATTGATGTGCCTTTCCCTATAGACAGATAGAGACAGACAATAAAAATAATGTATGAAATATATTATTTACGTTCGGAAACATTATTTTAACGCTTCGATATATTATATCCTTGTTTAATGTTCAAACAATAAGGGATAAAATGATATATCCGCACAATAATTTCTTCAAAAAAGATGCATGATATTACTCTCTCTCGCTCTCACTCGACTCGTTTTCTTGATTTTAGTCACAAGGCGCATCTAGGTATATCAGGGTACCTATTATGGAATTTTAACGACTCCGATCGGAATTGTGAGATTTCGACTGGTGAGTTTCCAATCGCGATTTCGTTCATACGTTTTTGCTATTATGGATGCCGAGCGGAATCGGCTTTCCGTTCATTTCTCTAGATGCGGAATGAACGTAAGCGGAACGAGAGGAACGGACGAAATGAACTGTTACGACCAATTACAGTGCAAGAAAAGCTAGACTTAAAATATCCGTTTGCACTGGCATGTGTATCTTTTATTTAGTTAGTCGATACATGCCCATAAATTGATTTTCGGACAAAGCAAATGAATCGAGCATATCCCTCAATCTTCGTCTCATTATTTTATTTGCGTGAATTTCAGCGAGACACTGCCTTTCTCTCTCACGACGTATTACTGCTAACTATAATATAATAAAAAAGAAAAGGATGCAATAATATATATAATATTAAAAATATTTAATGTAATGTTAAAAGTATAATATAATATAATATAATATTAAAAATATTTTTAATATTTACCATTATCACGATTCTCTAATCATAAATACATTTGGCTAAGTTAGCTTATAGAATAGATTATAAATAGAATATATATATATAATATTAAAATGTACGTAATATTATGTTAAAAATATTTTTAATACTTATATTTTTAATACCATTATCACGACTCTCTAATCGTAGACGCACTTGGTTAAGTTGACTTAAGCCAGCGGCACACGATGCTTTTTTTCCTGCTGATTTGCTAGCTGGATTTGCGTGCTCGTGAGCTCTTGTCTCTGATTGGTATATTCTTTTGGATCTAAAAAAAGCCGCTGGCTTTAGTATCGGTCCACAATAAGTATTTAATCTTTAAGTCGTAAGAAATTGATCAATCATAGTCGATTATTCTTTTCATATTCGATTATAATTGGTCAATTTCTTACTTCTTAAAGCTTAAATCACCTATTGTGGACCGACACTTACGCATCTTATCGCTGATTGGGCCTCGCTATTTCATTCCGATCGGAATCGATATTTCGACAGCTCGAGAGGTGACGGAAACTTTCCGATCGATTCAGAAACGATCCGACTGTCCATAATAACTTATCTAAGAATATCTGGAGAAAAACGAAATAATTCCGATCGGAATCGGATCCGAACATTTCGATAATAGGTGCCCTGATCTATAAGAGAAAAACAAAAAACTATTAATTGATATTAATCGAACCGAGTTTGACCGAACCGGGCCGAATCGAGCCGCGTCGAGCCGAGCCAAGCCGAGCGAAGTCGGGCCAAGCCGAGGCGGGCCGAGTCACACCGAACCGGACTGCCATTCCAGTAAGTTACATATGTACATTGAGATGATTTTGCACTGTTGAACACAGTGCAAAAAAAAGTAATAAATAACAAAACATTTCAACGAGAGCAAACCATTGAGGATTCATTTGCCAACGGATGAGAAAAATACGTAAAACTGTCAACGATTTGTTCTCGTTTCTCGCGCCATAGGCGGATTAGCGGCTAAGACAAAAAGGAATAGAGAAGCGAAAGATCGAGCGCGATTATTGAATCTCACAAATATACGCTTGTGTCGGCGTCGCAATAATTCCAAGTAATTCGTGACATGTAAACGTATTTCGTTGAGTTGCGTGTGTCATTCGGGATAATGATTTCTCATCACGCTAATTGTACATGAGGAAATGCTATGGTGAAGAAAAAGTGTATGAAATTCTGTCTCCTCGACCTTTCGCAACGGATGGTGGCACTCGAAGATGACTGACTCTACTTCTGCCGCCTCTACTTTCGTCAGGTAACATCCGCTCGCTCGTGCGAGTTTCACGATTTTTTTTTTTTCTTGCTAATATTATTCGGTATATTAATTATCGAGTCTCCGTGTGTGCACGAGACAGATTTTTCTCGCGTAAACATCGCGGTGTGCAAAGTAGCACTCTATGGAAAATGTGCTCTTAACCTTACCTCGTGTAAAGAAAGATTAAACGATTAAAGAAAGATTAACGAACAGAAGAGCGGAGAGGAAGAGAAAAGAAGTATAAGCGATCGACGTGTAATTTTTGAAATTTAATATAAATTTCTAAATCATTCTGTTATATTCCTTGATCCTTTTCTTTATATCTTTCAATATTCTCGCATGTGTTACCCTCGTTGCGTTTTATGCGTATGCGTTAGAGTGTATGGAAGTGTAAAATTCTCTTTATACATTTAATAATAAATCTATAGAATTATTTAAATTTTTATAGAAAGTAAAAAATGAACATCTTTGTTATTGTTGCAGACATTTATAAAATATTTTAGTGAGAATGTATTCAAATATTTTTTTTTTAATAAATTGCATATTTTGTTAATAAATTATTAATTAAACTATATATATTTGCTTCAATATTATTATTTAATTAAAATAAAATATTACGATATGGATTATAAGGTAATTTTTATTTATATATAATTTTTATTTATATTAAATAAATATATAGAAGTTTTTTTAAATACAAAAACAAGATTTTTGTTATTTAATACAATGAATTTTTTATTGCAATAATAATACATTAAAATATCTTATATGTTATTTGTATATATTTTTGTTAATTGCTAAAAAAATAGTTTTTAGTGTTACAATTTTTGCATTATAAGCATTTCCAATTTTGTTTTTTGAATTCTGACTTTATATAATCAACTTCGCATTTATATTACCAATTATATTATGACCTGTGTTATGGCCTTGAACTAGTCAGTAATAAGAAAGAAGAAATAAGTGTAATAAATGTATATATTCAGTAATAACAATATCAATTGTCATGCTTTTTAATATTTATATCGATGAAATCAAGTCATATGTAAATTTTGAATTATATATTTAATGATTTAATATCTGATTTAATATCTTTATTATACACATATATTTAGATAGACGAACATGTCACTATATATATATATATATATATATATATATATATATATATATATATATATATATATATATATATATT